TACCTGTTACATTTCTATCTGGCTTGTATGCGGAAAAAGCGCATATTATGAAAACCCAAGGTGTCCTGGTATTTCAACTCGGCAAGCAAACAAGCTTCGGCGTTGAAATTTTGCGTTGAACCCATTGGCCATATGCGACCGCAGGACACGATATCAACCTTCATACGGCTGTCGCCGAAAGGCGATATTTTATGTTAATATTACATATTTTTTGTTGTATATGTTAATATTGCATTTTTTATGGTGTGTGTATGAGTCATATAGTATATACTTTTATGTCAAATGCTTCATGTTAGTTTTTATGTAAAATATTATCTATTGTTTTATCGTCCACTGTAATATCAGCGATATTCCTCGAAGTTTCGTTTTTTCTCATGATGCTCTTTATTCCTCGTTACATTCCTGATGCCTGATCGCCAAAAGGCGATAAGGTGTTTCTTGGACCCTACAAGGACCCCTGTATCTTGTCCTCTGTCCATTCTCATTCTTCATCTGCATCTCGACCGCTCCATGGTTGTCTCTATGAAACCTCATTTCGGCGAACGGCCTGCTTTATGGCACAATCTCGACCGCTTCACGGCTGCTTTCTAACGAACTCCGTTCTCGGTCATGTCTAGTCTTGTTCAAGGAATCGTTTGTTCCTCCTCCTGCCCAACCGGACAACTTGAATTATTACCGTATTACTACACGTAAATATACTAAATAATTGGCCAACGCACGGGCTGCTCGTGCGAAGATGCGTTTTTTTACATAGCGCACCGCAGATTTTTGTTGCTAACGGCACTAGTTTTTCAGGCAGATGCTTCTAGCTAAAAGAATTTCAGACTGGCCGCCAGGACTGCCAGGAAACATCCCTTAAAAATTACAGTCTTCTAGCTTCTCATACGTCCGAGTTAACAACTTACCCGAAAGAAATTTTCAAGGGCCTGTACGTAGGTGCTACGCTTACCGGGGCTGGATCTGAGCTTATTAATACCTACTTGAACGGGAAACGTCCCCTTAAAATTTCAGCCTCCCAGCATTTGTGGTTTCGTGCTAGCAGCTTACCAGTAGAAAAATTTGGCGGGCCTGCCCGTGAGTACCACGCGGGTATAGGAACCCATTTTGGGGATTGGGGCCCGTATGTGCATGTAGATTAAGTTCCCGAAATTTCAGCCCAATAGCTTTCATAGCTGTTGAGATGAAAAATCGGTATAGATGTACACACAGACACCCTTTGTCAACATGCGTTTTCTGCATTGCATGGCTACAAAAAACGCATAATAAATAAACTGTTTTATTGGCCTCTGCACATCTCATCTTCATCACAAGAAAGACGCCAAATTACGCCACATGGAGCCCGAAGGGAATTAACAATTGAAGCCGTCACCGCATTATGTCTGATCACCAAAGACAACTTATTGGTTCAAGAAAGGCTTGACTGGCCACCTACTGAGTGGACAACCTCATCGAAGAACTGCTAAAGTCCACTCATCTACAGCTACAAAGCTCAACGAATACGGCACGCAGGTCAATGCTAATTTATCGAAAATCACGCAAACAGTGCAAGCAGTCGAATGTACATCAACAGGTGGACCCAGCTCATCAGCACTTTAGATGCAGTACGTGCAGATGAAACCAACAAAATTTTAGCCCAATCGGCGGCAATATTTGAATTACTCGAAGAAAACAAAAGTACTATTCAGCACCTCCTATCAACGATGAATGCAGCGCCACGCAGTGAAACGATATTAACGCCAACAATACCAGTGCTACATTCGCGATACACTCCACCAGTCAAAGAATTCTCAGGTGACCTTATCAAATAGGAAAAATTTTACCAAACCATCCGCTTTGCCGTCGACTCTTTGTCATATCCAGCACACTGGAAGGTGGCAACAGTGTTAAGCTTACTAAGGGGACCTGCATATCGCTGTGTAGCAGGCCTTGAAATTTCTGATAGAAACTATCCAATTGCACTCGAACTATTACAAAGCAGATTTGGCTATGCGCAATAAATTCGAAGTTCTCTTCATCCGAAACTTGCGAATCTACGTTCAGCAGGGGAGGATATCCACAGCCAACGACGTGCTTTAGATGAAATTGAAAAATGCTGCCGACAGCTGGAGGCTTTGGGTGAGAACACTGAAAACACCCAAATAGCGCTCTTAATTATTAGCAAATTCCCCGAAAGCATTGTGTTCAAACTTCATTCTGGTCACAGTGTGAACGAGCCATAGCGAGTGAACGAAATATGAGAACGTCTAGAAGAAATAATCGCATACAAGGAAAAAGTATAATTGTTTAAGAACTTGTTGCATAAACAATTAGTTAACAACGGCGACACATCAGCGGAAACGTTTTCTGCCATTCGATCACAACCAGCTCAGGCACCTCGACCGACACTATCTCCACGCACGAAAACAAATCCAACGCGAATTACTCAACTTCTCAAGGCACCACAATTAGCACCGTTTTCCAAAGCCTTTTGGAACGAAAGTCGTCCTCTCAATCATAATTGAACGCCAAGAACACCTTGTGTATTTTGCTAAGAGTACCACTGGTCTAGTCGATGCAATCAATACGTCAGCAGGTATGCCAGATTAGATCGACTGAGACAGTTAAATTTGTGCGCTCGTTGCCTACAGTCGGGGCACTTGGCGCGAGAATGTGACTCACCGAAGACCAGTTTCCTCTGCAGAAAGCAACATCCTACCGCATTATGTCTCATGACAACAAAACCCGAGCAAAAGGTCGCCAGACCAATTTCCCAGCAAGGCCAGGGATGGAAAAAATCAAAGCAGTCTGGAGTAACATGGAATTCAGACTTACAAATACCTGCATCATCAACGTCGTTAAAAGCAACAAACATTAGCGAGAATACCTCCCAGATTCTGGATTCAGATGTTACTACTGCAGCAACTGACCCCAGAAGTCAAGCATTATCATCACAGGTTCTGCTGCTAACTGCTACTGCTACAGTTTACAACCTAGAAGATGCTGAACAGATGCGTCCGCATACCGCAGCAATATTCTTCGATTCCGGCTCACTTTTCTAAAATACTCGGCCTCCGACAACTTCAGAGCATGCAATATCATCTATCGACTTTTGGATCCTTGACAAAGGAATTTGAAACAGGGTTAGTAGAATTTGATATTCAGCTGGACGGTGGCGAGCTGAAGCCAGTAACAGCTCATACTGTCAAAGAGATCTTACCACCGTTACATGCTATTCGGATGGATTATTCGCCGGATATGAATGAACGCGACTCCGCTGCTAGAAACTACGTCTGCGCACTTGCGCATCCTGATATTCGAATTGGCATCGACTATCTGTGGGATTTCTTATTACCTCAACAAACTCATCAGCTACCAAACGGATTTACCATAGCAGAGCCTACAGTTGGGCCACTTGTTTGCGGAAGAGGCGACCTGCGGCTTACAGATCGCGATCGCTCCGGCAACTCAGAGTGAAAGAGTTGTGGATCGATATAAGAGTGAAAGTGTGTGGATCGTTTTATGCCTTATGAGTGCCCAAAGGAAAAAAAAAGAACAAATATTTATGAGTTACTTACGTACCGCAATACCCAGGACAGCCATGGGTTGTGCGTGAGGGGATGAAGCTGCGTGGACGATGATGACGAAGCTGGAGCCGAGACGAAGACGAGGGCCACGAAGAAGAAGAAGCCCAGACTGAAGGAATGGGAGGTTTAAATAGGGAGAATTGGGACCACCCAGGGAAGGAAGGAATGTAAGCCCTTCCGGTCGAATAGGAGATGACGCCAGACAGGAAATGGACGAAAAAAGGGTTGTTTGAAGGAAAATGGAGCCAAAAATAACC